ACCTGTGCTCAATTTTGTCCAGGAACATAAACCATGTGGTCCAGTTCCACCATTAAAACCATCCTCCATGGTTTCCAGTGTCTTTCTTTAGGCATCTGTCTATTTTCATTAGGGACTGTAATAAGGCAACATATATAAATCATTTGGACTCAAATCTCTGTCACAGTATGCTTTGAATACTGGCCATATTTTATTGTATTTTTGGCCTGGTCCAATTGGCACCTTTGCAGGTGACCCCTGAAGTTCTTCAAGGATATATTGTGTTTTAGAACAACTGTACTTTGCAATCCCAATCAGGAAAAATAATTGAAATTATAATCTTATGTAACAAAATATAACAGGAGGTAGCAGCTACAGCACTCGTAAGATTTGGAGTCTTGTAAATCTATCCAGATTGATTGTTTGCGGAATTGGCTGTGGTGTAGCTGAATTGGCTCTGGTGAAATTGTCTTTTTGTCTTATTATAGTTTATGATATTTTAACAGTAACTATGTAAGAGTTGGAAGGGACCTTGGAGGTCTTCTAGTCCAGCCCCCTGCTCAAGCAAGGAGCCCCTATACCAGTGATGGTGAACCTTTTTGTTGTGGTGTGACCAAAGCATGCACATGCGTGCCAGCACCCACAATGCAATATGCCCCGCCCCCCCGCACATGCGCACGCAACACCTCTGCCTCATCCCCTTACCTGCACTGCACATGAGTGTGCTTTCTCAGCTGATTTTCAGCCCGTTTGAGGCCGTTTTTGCCCTCGTGGAGGCTCGAGGGAAGCCTTTGGGGCCTCGGGAAGCTGAAAACAGGCCCGTTTCGGCACTTCCGGTATTTCCAGAAGGCCTGTTTTTCGGCCTCCCGAGGCTTCAGAGGCTTCCTTTGAGCCTCTGGGAGGGCGAAAACAGCCTCAAATGAACCAAAAATCAGCTGGGAAGTGTACACATGTGCAGTGCAGGCAAGTTTGGCTGGCGCTTGCATGCCCGCACAAATGGCTCTGCGTGCCACCGGTTCACCATCACGGCCCTATACCATTCCAGACAAGTGGCTGTCCAGTCGCTTCTTAAAAGCCTCCAGTGATGAAGCATCCACAAGGTCTGAAGGCAAGCCATTCACCAATTAATTGTTCTCTGCACTCTTTCTGCAGTCTCAACATCTTTTTTCCTTTAGTCATGACCAAAACTGGACATAGTACTCCAGGTGCTGTCTTACCAAAGTACATAGTATAAATCAGTACTAACCCTTCATGTGATCTTGATACTATCCCATTATAATATAGATAATATAAATAATATAAATTTATATAAATTATCTAAAATAAATAAATATGTTGTTTTAAGGTGTACACTATTCTCAGTCATATGTTATGTGGGCAACAATGTAAATTGATTGAATGAAAATTTTTTGGTTTATCGTAATGTCAAATGCACCCATGTAAAGTGGTATAACAGTCCCATTCACGAATGGTCCTAGAGCTGATCCACCCTTTATAGAGGCAAGATTATTCTTTTCCATCAACCATTACAATCACACAATTCAATTTGACAGACCCTAGCCTTGCATTATCACAAGTGGTCTTTGAATACTGCCCAAGACGTTAAGAGCTTCTACAATGCTGAAGGAAACTCAAAATCGAATAAGTCTACATTTCCTGTCAGCTAAATAGCCTATTCAAGTGCAAGGAGGAAGAAATAGTTCCTCAGCCGAGACATGAAAAGATTAATATCAATATAGGAACATATTTTTCCTCCAAAATACTTCAGATTGAATTTAAACGACATCAAAGTTCAGGGATGCTCCCAGTCTTTCAGGCTCCTAGATCTGCTGTGAAACATTTTTTGATATACAGGATTGACCCCCAGGGAACAGAAAAATTCAAGGTTCTGTTTGGCAACGGGTAAAATAAACTAGAAAAGGAAACTAAAACCAGCTTCCCTTCTAACATTATTGTCTGGGCTAAATGCTTCCTGCTGGTCTGGCCAATTTGCTTATAGCTCCATCCTGTGGCTAAACTCAGAGGCAGCCTGGATTTCTGCTTGACATCTCTGAGATATCCCAGGCTTGCAATATGCCACAGAATCACATCTGATTCCCTCTCAGAGTAGCCCCAAAGTACATAAATTCTTTCTGTTTGAAGAGAGCTGTTTTTACTGTGATAAACCACAACATTACACTGATTCATTTCAGGAAAAAAAGAGAAATCTATATATATAAAAGTGAAATACCACTCACACACCGTCAGAAAATCTCCAGAACCGTAAAGCCTACAAACTTGAAATTTGGCACGTATGTTCCTCTTGGTTTCTAGGTGCTCACTAAGAAAGGATTTTTTCAAAATGACTATCACAGAGCATTAGTATTTCATATATTGTTATTAACATGCTCTGATGCTAAGGAGTTCTACTCCTCCTCCCCACCTGAAAAGAAATCTGTTCCAAATGCAAAACGCAAGCAGAGGAGAGGAGTTGCAGTTTCAGAGCACCAAGCAGCTTTAGGACAGAACAGTTGAGCTAAGCCACACCCAAGCTCCTTGCTCACGCAGCAAATACTGTTTCAGTTTCCAAACAGCTCTCAACTCTCTCGCACACTGACAGGACGCTAGCCAGATGAATACCGATGGATGCTGGTAGGCAGAAGCAGAATTTTTTCCCCCTTATTTTCCTCCCCAAAAACTAAGCCCGACCACACAGTTTCACAGCAAAGCATGGGTATCGAGCTAGTTACATATATTTTCTCCTCTTTTCAGGATTATTAGTCTTTTGCATATTTCACTGTTTTGAGTTCGTTAAAAAAGCAATGAAGATGCACTAAAAACCAAATAAATTTGTTCTGGTTTCCAATCGTATGGTATTTTATTATTTTACTTTTTAAAAAAAATTCTGGTGACTAAGTTATCACGATGCCAGAGGACTGGTTGTTAATTAACAGAAATAATCAAGGGTTTGGTTTTTTGTTTTTTTTTAGCATGGAGTAATATTCAAAGGTGGGAAACATCCGTCTTTTCCAGGTGGTGCTGATCTATCTCTGCACTTAGCCAATGGTGCAAGTAAGCTGAAGTTGTAGTCCAGCAACACCTGGAAAGCTCTAGATTTCCCACCCTTGAATTGGTTGTAGCAATGCAGTAGAAAGGTTGCATTTAAAATTTAGACTAAGGCAAGAAACGACATACAAGTAGTTATTTCAGTAACCATTTGAAGATATGAAAGGGACTGGAAAAACATGATTTATAACTATTATTCACACTTATGACCATCATGATCCCCATGGACAGATAATCAAATACTTGGCAACTGACTCATATTTATGACAGGTTGTAGTGTCCTGGAGTGTTGTGGTTCGCCGGCAGCAGGTGTGGATATATCTGAGGTCTGAGAGAGCGAGGACTAGGTGAGGGGCCTGTGTGTGATGCAGGGATGGGGCCAGGACCATCAGGGAGTGGGGTGCTGCCTTTGGAGATGGTGGAGGCTGGCAGCAGTGATGCAGAGGCCTCCGAGGAGCCTGTGCCCAGGGCGTGTAAGCACAGGGATGCTTGTAGGAAAGAGCAGCTGCAGCAGCACAGGCGACTCAGGAGTAAGGCTGCAAAGTAACGGCCCCTCCCTTACTAGATAAAAGCCAGCCTGAGAGACCAGAGTTCTTTGCAGGACGCAAAGAAGTTCTTGCCCTTCAAGCCTTGTGGAAGTTCGGACTATCTTGGTTTGTGTTGGAAGACTTTTTGTTTGGAATATTTCTTGGCAACTTTATCTAGTGTCCTTGGCAGCCTTGCACAACCTTGGCCAGGCTCATTCTTATCAGAGACAATTAGTTTTAATAGCCTTTTAGCCGTGAATTAATGGAATTCGCAGAGAAGCATTAAAAGCTTTTGCTTTTATCTCTGTTGGGGGGTTTGTTGACTTGGAACAAGGTTTGGGTCAGAACATGGAGTCATGTGATCACCTTTAGCGACCTTCTGGCAAGTGAACTCAATGGGGAAGCCAGATTCACTTAACAACCCTGTCACAAACTTAACAAATGCAGTGATTCACATACAACTATGACAAGAAAAGCTTAACTGTCTTACTGAGCAACATATATTTTGGGCTCAACTTTGGTCCTAAGTTGAGGACTACCTACAGTTCCAACAGAATAGACGGTGAAAGGAAGCATAATAACTGGCAATTCTTCCAGTTATTCTGGAGCTACAGATTTGACAATGGAGCCCTGCTCTAAGAGACTACAAGACAACGGTTGTAAGACAGAATGTAAAAGGAAACAGAAAAGTTTTGAAATCAAGGCAAAAAGTTTTTCTGAATGCGGTCCATACGGGAAATGCATTAACATATTGAAATAAATCCAACCAGCAACATTCAGTTATTAGAATAGAACAGGGATCATTCTCCAAAGCACTGGAGGGCAAGACAAGAAACAATGGTTGGAAGCTCATCAAAGACAGAAGCAACTTGGAATTAAGGAGAAACTTCCTAACAGTGAAGACAATTAACCAGTGGAACAGCTTGCCACCAGAAATTGTGGTCATTAGAGGTTTTTAAGAAGAGACTGGACAGTCACTTGTCTGAGATGGTATAAGTTCTCCTGCTTGAGCAGGGAGGTGGCTGGACTAGAAGACCTCCAAGGTCCCTTCCATCTTTTCTATTCTACTCTAGAAGAGAGTGGAGTGTTAACCATCACCTTCAAAACATTAATCACAATTAAATACCAAAAGATATTTTGAATGATAACAAGGTATTCAACTGACCACCTCTTTTGAAACGCCTGTTCTTAACTGTTCAAAAATTATGTGAACTTAATGCATTCTACTTAATGCCTGCTAACATTGGCCATGTGCTGGCTGGGGAATTCTGGGAGTTGAAGTCCAACAGGCCTTAAAGTGGCCATGTTTGGACACCCCTGCTTTAAGTAGTTTGATTCCAGTGTACCTCATACAATCGGAAATCCAACCATTATTTCTCATGAAAGGCAAACAAATTTCAGACACGTACATTCCAGTAATTCAAGCAATATCAAAACAAATCCGTTTACCTCTGCAGGCTGCTTTGAAGGTGGAATGGACGGTGGGGGCTTCTTCAGTTCTTCACATTTTCTCTTTTTACATATCCGGTGGCTAGTCTTGCGTTTCCTACAGCAGCTACACTCTTCACAGTTAGTTTTCCGCAGGCAAGGTTCACAAACTCCACAGCGCCTTCTTTTTTTCTTTTCCACCACAGGTTGCAAAGAGGCGAGGCACCCACCAGTTGGAGATTCAAAAGGGGAGGGCTCGGATGCCACCGCTGTGTTGGTGTCACATTTCTTGGGATCCTGGAGACAGTTGGTGATTTTTCCATCTCTTCCCAGCTGTAGCAAGGGATCCGGGTGCCTCAGAACGGACTTGCTAGGTGGCGCTGTCCTTGGCTCTTCCCCCTCTCCTGTAGCCAAGGGCAGCCTTGCATTAGGGGACTGGGAAAAACTTCCTTCAGACACTTCCCTGCTGACTGGACTAGTGGCGTTTCTTTCTGGATTACAGGGTGCAGAGGCTGGATCGAAACCGAATGCTTCTGCAGCAATCCTTTCAAGCGTCCGTTCAAGGTCATCCAAGACGAAATTACTCAAAGAAATGCTAGAAATCTGTTCACAGACTGACTGCTCGTTTGGTGGCTCACAGCTATAGTAGGAAGAAGAAGAATCAAGTGTTTGGCTGCACGGCACCAGCGCCAGGTCTTCTGGTGTAGGGGGTTCTCCTCCAAGGCCTGGTTCTTTGAAGCAACCTTCTGGTCCAGAGTCACCCTGCAAACACTTCTCTTCTGCAATCAGAGGCTCAGCATCTGGTTTGTTCAGGGGTTCTGGCAGTGCAGACGGGTCATCCAGATGCAATTTTGAGATCAGTTCAGAGGTAATCAAAATGGCAGCATCAGATACACAGGGATGTAGCACCATATCATGTTCAGTTTTGGAATGAGATTCCAGAGAAGAAGTCTCCGGACTTTTATTAGGCAACGCCAGGTCTTGTTCTGAGGAAAGGCTCAACATGGAAAAGGAATGTGAACATAAATGCTCTGGGGGGACAGGAGGTAAATTCAGGTTACTCTTTGCATATGGTTCTACAGGTGTCCCCAATTCATCTTCCTGTACCCTTAAAGTAGTGTCAAAGTCAAGGTGTAATTGATGAAGAGGCTCAGACAAAATTTCATTTGAGGTATTAGTAAACAAATCTTCCAGGGCCTGCTCACTGGAAACAAATTCTTCACATCTGTGTTCTTCTTCTAGTATTCCTGAATTACAAGTATCCACCACACCATTATTAGAAACAGAAATTTTCGAGGGGTGCATTATCCCTCTCTTTTTGGCTTGATTATCATCTACGGAGGACCAGCCTGTTTCCTGAGAACATGGGGCCTTGTCTCCTTTGGGAGAAGGCAATTCGCTATTCAAGTTTAAATCTCGTGCAAAGGCTCTTGTAGTCTGTTCAACTTCTTTCCTTTCTAGTGCAGAGGAAATTCCTGATCTGACTTGCTGTCTTTTTCTTGGGCCGCTCTTCTTAGCTTTTGTGATTGTCGATGCTTGAAACAGCCTGTGGGAAAACGGTTTCCTGCGGAGAGTCATGGAAAACCCACCGTAGCTCAAAGGAGGCTGATTGTGGAAGAGAACATTATCAGTTAATTCCAGGTTCATCCAAGATGTTCCAGAAAAGGCTTTGGTTACGCTGCTCCGGAGAAATCGGCATGGCGAACTTAATGGAGATTTACATCTTTGGGATTTTTTCTTGCCATCATTTTGGTTTTCTATTGATTTTCTACAGCTTGTAGGACACTCTTTCTTTGAGGACTCTTTCTTGGCATTTTTTATTCCTTGGCAAGATTTCTTTTTAACAGGACTCAGTTTCTTTTTGCTTATCTCCTCTTTTTTAATTAATCGTGAAGATCTGGCATCCCGGGCCATTTCTATCAAACTCTAGATGCGTCACTGGAATTAAGAGTTCATGGAGTCTTGCAAATGTTCTTCATTTCAGGAGAAACCTGCACATTTGTCAGGACATTCTCTGTGTAGTAGAGCTGAAATAGAAAGAAAGAGCAATAAAGTATTGTGAAAAAATTTAGATTTCACACAGAAGCTTTAAAACATTCGTGTCACTTTTTATAACTCTGTAGCTTTAATATCAAACTTGCAAGATGAATCAAAAGCTGCACAGACTGAGAATTAAGAGGAATAGTGATATAGCTAGCAGCTTGCCTAAGGCAAGGGGGGGGGGGGAATGGAGCAAGACTGTCCTGTTCATAATTCAGTTTGTTTACCTCTATGCTATGGAATAATATTAAAAGTGGCACATGTTTTTGGCAGCGAACTCTGGAGGAAGCTGATTTTTCTTTCCTCTGAAGGTGGTGCTTTAATTGTTTGTAGTATTGTGTATCATGCTTTACTTTTGGAAGGTCTGGGTTTCCCCCAAATCTTAAGTACTGCTGGAGAACAAACAAAACAGAAGGTTGATAGGCACTGAATCCACTGAACACCAATATAAATGGAACAGAAAAGCTTCCTCTCCCACTTTAAACTGACAAGCACTGAATAGTAAAGCAAACAACACGAAGAGTTGCAACATCCCCTTTCTCTAAGATTTTCAAAGCAGTCTTGGCAAGTTTTAGAGATAAGAAATTGGAAGCCCCAAAACGTTTTGAAATGCCGGTAGGAAGCACCACTAACTTCTATGCCCAACAACTACACACCACATGCTTTGCTTAATGGCATATACTCACTATTTATTTTCCCTTGTTAGGCCAAGAGGGCAATGCAGAAGATCTGTAGAACTTACAGAAATGGATATCCAGAAGTAGCTCCTTGCTAAAGGAAAATGTTATCTCTTCCCTCCCTATCTGGGTCTGGGACAATACGCAGTGCTTGCTATGTGTTAGTAACTCTTTTTAGTGACTCTTGGCTTGTCCAAAATGTTCATTTCCTTGCTAGGTGTGACCAGGACAGGCCCAAACCATTTAAACCCCTAAGGCAAAACATTTGGAGTGTAGCTTTCACTGTCATCAGACTTCTGCTGGTCTCCATTTTAAGATCTTGCAGAGCAAATTTCATTCATTTGCCCAGGATACTGAGTCACGTGGATCAGATCTCTTGACTGGGGCAGATAATACTGGTTGGTTGAAACCTCGTCTGTGACTGGGGCAGATAATACTGGTTGGTTGAAACCTCGTCTGACTTTTAGATAAAGATGTCTCTGTTGCCCGACTTTGAAAATCTCTTCATCAAGATATGTTTTTCTTGATGGTACAACTACCAGTGGCTTCGAAGGGAAGGAGTACAAAATAATGTGCTAATGAGAAAAAAAAAATATTCGGCAGCAGAGGGGTAAGCAAACTTATGGCCAGTTTAAAAAAACCTGGAAGAATTGAGAGCATACCTTGGATACCTTTACAAAATGGTTGCTGGAGATAGCATTGCCTGCTCACAAAACAGCCACCATTATGAATGCAGTCAACCACAATTCATCAATTAATCCTAAAGCAAAATATTGCAAAATTGTTCTCCTTTAGCCTCAAGAATGCTTTTTAACCCCTACTTTTCTCCCCCCCCTTTTTTTTGAGCAATAAAGTATAGGGTGCAATTGCATTCCCTACCCCCCATTTTAAACTTCCTGTCATGTCTATATGAGGTCCTGAGGAATTCTTGCAAATTAAGTTGCTGGTCTTTTGCTTTGCAGATATCATAATGCTATATCATTATTTTGATCCTTTTTTTAAAATGTCCGTTTGGGTCCCAGATATGCAGCTGCCAAAGGGGAACCCTTTTGCCTCTCTCTGCTGTAGCAAAGAACACCAAAATACCAGGCTCACACGGTGTTTGACTCATGTTAGCTCTGCTGTTCACCTCTAGATTCGTAGGATACAAGATGGAGAACAAATGAATTTCCTAAATAAATACATCCAGCGAAAGCTACCATCTTCAACACAGTGCCTATCAGATGGGCGTTCCCTTAACTCCCCTAATTTGGCATACAACAATTTCGTATTTCACAAATGAAGGCAAATATACATGTCCCAGGATAATGTTGCAGGATCCAATCTGGGTCAGTCACAGGAACCAGAGGTTTAGTCTTCCGAACTTTCAGCTTGTGCTGGAACCCATCCTCAGGGGACTTCTCCCTAGAGAGGATGGGCTCCAATACAAGTCCAAAAGCTCAGAAGACTAAAACTCTGTTCCCGACCCAAACTGGATCCTGCAATTTCATATCTAGTAGCCCACAATGACCATCAAATTTCCAATTATTTTACATCTTTTACATTGCTTGACATCTGTTGCACCAAGAGAACCTCAAAAGGTTCCTGAATTGTGATTTCCAGAAATGGCAAGGAACACCGTGCACTTATTTAGCCCCATAGCAAATGCCCTATTGATAACTGATCAAGTATCAATGCCATATTAACAACTGATAAACCTATCAAGGTGAAAGCTAGCTTTCTGTCTAACCTGAATGTTCCAGGGGTATTGAAATTTGTTTTGGAATTTGGCAGTGGCTTATAGAGAAAGTTGTGGTTTGTATGGGCTGCCTTTACATCTGTGCTCCTAGAACAAGGCTCTCCAAACTTAGCAGCTTTAATATTTGTGGACTTCAACTCCCAGAATTCCTCAGGCTGGAATTCTCAAGTCTTTAAATTGCCACGTTTGCAGAATCCTGTTCTAGAGAACATTGGCCCCCAACCTTTAGGGTACCAGAGACGGATTCCATGAAGGAAGGTTTTTCTGTGGACTGAAGGGGTATGGTTTTGTGTGCTGCCTGCATCCCACAGATGGGGCTTCCATTTGTTTGCATGGTCCAGTTGTTGGCATGCCACGGACCAGTGCTGGTCCACAGACCGGGGGTTGGGAAACCCTGTCCTAGAATATCTAGAGAGAGAATCAATTTCTCTTCTATGTCCAAACTGCTCTGCACTTTTGCATGGACCTTCTATATCTATACAGTGCCGCAGAGGTGCAGACTCCACTCCTATGTTGATGCAGCTTTTCTCTATCTCTTATGAGATAGGGCAGTGATGGCTAACTTTTTTGTCTTTGCGTGCCAAAAGTACGTGCATGTGCACGTGTGCCTGCGCCCATAATGCAATGCACATGCATGCTCCCCCGACCCCTACGCATGTGCGCGTGACCCCCCGTGCTCCCCATCCCCCTGCACACGCGCGCATGACCCCCGTACTCCCCGTCCTCCTGCGCATGCATCTCCTGCATGTGCCCCACCCCCCCACATAGCCAACAATCAGCTGGCTGGTGGGAGGCATGTGCGCATGCTCAGTGAAACTGAGTTGGGGTGACAGCTCCCATGCCACTTCCGGCACATTTGCCATAGTTTCGCCATCACGGAGATAGGATGACTTGTATTGGTAGCACACTGTTTCTTCAGGAGGACAGGATTAACATTGGGCTAAAGGCTGACCAGGGAATATTTCTGGTCTTAGGGCAGCTGTCAGTCAAAACCACACTGCTAAGCGCTCAGCTAAGTGGTGCAACGATTCATACAGGACACAGCATTACCAACAAAGTTATCTGAAAAGTACTTATTGGCTACAATTTCTGTATTATATACAATATGTTATATGATCCAATAAATGCGAACTAATTTGGAACAAAAAAAAACCAGTTTGATCCAGTGATTAAAGCTCCAGACTAGAAACTGGGAGACTGTGATTCTAGTCCTGCCTAAAGCATAAAAATAGAGGAAAACAAGAGAAGGAAAGAATATTTGTTCACAACCCAGAGCTTTATTATTCTAAAAATAATAAAGGCAGAATAAAAAGTCTAAAATAAAAAAAATATGTAATATCCAATTAATTCAGTGAGGCTTTCTCCCAAATCAATCAATCTATCCATCTATCTATCTATCTATCTATCTATCTATCCATCCATCTATCCATCCATCCAATTTCAATTTTATTCATTCGGGAATTATCTATCAAATTACTTCACATTTTACACTTTTCAGGCAAAAAGCTGAAAAATGCCTTTCATTTAAACTGTTTACAATATAAAAGCAATTAGAAGGGACAACATAGAGGCAATAGAAAAGAAAATTGGGGATTAAAAGACAACATCATTTTTTTTCCTTGTAGGCCTTCAAAAATGCTTAAGGGGAAATTGTTTCTGCGTTGCCCTAAAGTACTTAGAAAAATTAAATACAGCCTGAATAGAAATAAAAATTGGATGCAAAAGATATAGGCAGCCCAAGAATGGGAGAGTTGATTCTCAGAACAAGATGACGAAATGATTAGTGTAACTATCACATTACTACTTCTATACTCATGGTTCTTCTACTGGCCTGAACAGTACCCAAACTGGGAATCACTTAGGAACATATCCCTGAAAAAAAGACAATAAACCTCTTCATCATTGTTCTCAAGAAATATGCATCCACATGCTCAAGGGGCCACCAAGAATCAACTTGACTTAGGGCTTTCAGTATTTTTTCCCAAAAAAGTCTGGAAAGGTTTCCTTCATGCTCAGTCCAGCCAAGACAAGTCATTTATATATTTCAACACCTTGATGAGGCCTCCTCAAGCATTGTGTAGATTTCAAACTGGCGTTAACCTCTGCTAAAAAGCCTAAGTGTACATGAAGCCTGATAGATTGGACTGCAGCCAATAAAACCATTTTTGAGGAATCCTTGGTGCTCTCCAAGCTTGGTTGGGAATCCTGGCAGGGCAAGCCACTGTATTGTAGAGAGCAAAGCCCACCCCAACCCCCCCACTACTCAGATAGTGGAATGACTGCAAACAAACAAGAGGCTCAGAGAGCACCAGGAACTCCACAGTTCAACCCTAAACTACATATACCTTCTATTAAAACCATTCTTTTCTGGGAAATATGACAAATGCACCATATGTTGCTTCAAGACTCAGGATGTTGCTCCTAAAGGGCTTTAGTTCAGCCTTCTGTGAAAAGTCACAAGAATACTGCTCTTTTGCTTATTAATGCTTTTGGTGGAGAGAGATATTTCTAACCAGAAGATAACTTTATCTGGATTTGTTGTAACGTTCCACACACGAGGCAGCAT